CCCTTGCGCACCCTTCGTCCACGCCGACTTCCGCCTGCGCGTGCGTATCCGCGCCCAGCACTCCTACGCCTTCTAGGTCTCGGCGTCTGCTCGCGTCCCCCGCACTCGCGCGCCCAGCGCGCGCCCCATCCCAGCTGGCCTTCCCGCGCGCGTCCGTGCCAACGTCCAAGCCCCAATCTCCTACAGTGCATCCCCCCGCGCATGCGTTACACTCGCGCATTATTGCGCGCTTCTCATTGCCGCTGCCACTCTTTCGCGCGTGGGTGTCGTCGCCCGGTACTTCCTCGCCTACGCGGTCGCGGTCTACTCCTGCCATCGCACCGCTCATCTCGCCTAAGCCAACACGGCTTAGGCCTTCGCCCGCGTACGTCCACTCGCTGCAACTCCCCTCGCGCGCCATCCACCCAACAACCTCCCCCTGCACGCCACTCCGCCTATTCTCCCATCGCCATGCGCGTCTACGCCAATAGGCGTGTGCGCGCCTTTGTCTACTGCCTTGTACGTGCCACTTCTCATGAGCTTGAGTGCCCTGCATACGAGCTCGTACCCATCTTTTAGGCCATGCTTGCATCGTTTTGGCCCTATTCTCACCCTCCTCAAGTCCTCTTGGCTCTCGGCCCTTCTCGTCATCGGGGTCCGGAACCCACTTCCGTATCACTGCTGTGCCGCGCCTACCTGCGCCAGCCCCTGCGCGTGCCTGCGCGCGCGCGCGTACCTACGTGCGCCCGAACTACCCGTGGTCTGCCTGCGCGTGGCCCCGTGCACCACTGGCCACCTGTACGCGTGCTGTGCGCCCATGTGCGTGCATAGTGCCCGTTGGGCACCCGACTAGCATGCCTTCCATTCCTTCGGGCCACCTGGTATTTTAGCCACCCCCACCAGGTTTCACATCTTCGATAAGCATCCCGAAACCATCGATGGCACGTCCTTTTGAGTCGTGGCCTTATCCGTGCTCGTCTACGCCAATGCGCGTGTTTGCGCCCTTCTTGAATGCACTCTTTCTTGCGTGTGAGCGTTGCTAGCCTCGTGACCATCTTCTTGCGTGCCCTCGCGCACCTCCATGCGCGACCTTCATTAACCGCTTCGTGCGCTCGTTTATCACGTCCATGCACTCCTCGATCCAAGCCCGTCCGCATACGCGCTCGTACCCGTCTTTTAGGCCATGCTTGCATCGTTTTGGCCCTATTTTCAGCCTCCTCGAGTCCTCTTTGCTCTCGGCCCTTCTTGTCACAGGGGTACGGAACCCACTTCCGTATCACGCGCTCCCCGCGCTCGCTGCCTATCCCGCGCGCGTATACTTTCCGCATTCCTAAGCCTCCGAGGCATAGGTCCTCGCCCGCGTCTGGACTCCACTCGCGCGCCCTTGTGCGCGCCCGGCTATCGCCGAACTCCTCGTGCGCGTCCCGGCTACAGCCCGCGCCCCAATCATTTACGGTGCACCCTATCGCGTCCGCTACTCCGCGCGTCGCCTCCATCGCCCGCGGGCTTCGATCACCTCCTGCGCATCCCCGTGCGCCCGTTGCGTTGCACGTACCGTCCATGCCTGCAGACTGCTCACCCGCGCGTCTTTCGCGCCCCATCGTTACGACACCGAACGCCAATGCGTCCCAGTCGACGTCCGCGACTTGCTTGCCTATCATGCACCCTCGCATATCATCTCGCTCTGTCCAACCGCTTGCATCATGGGCCGATGCGCGCCATTCGCCCATTAGCCGACCGCCGTCGTCCTCTTTGTTGCCGGTCATATTCGTTGGCTCGGGCCATGGATCCCAACCGTTTAACCTCTCACATTCGTCCGCCGGTATCCACCACCCTTTGTCAACCTATCGCAAACCACGCCTTCTAGCCTCCTTCTTTCGTGCTCGCTTTTTCCTTGTACAAGGCTTACACCAACAGCCTGATTCCTTAGCCTTCGCCTTGCGTTTCCTTCGGGCTCGTTTGGTCTTGCGCTTCTTAGGCTTTAGCTTAGCCCGTGGACCACACACTTCTGGCCAATCTCTTACACATGATGGTCGATATATCAGGCTTGATGGCTCCTCCAACATGTTCTCTAACCATATATTGAGACCATCGTCACCTTCCTCGTCAGACTCGCCTGGGTTGATGACCACTTCCGTATCATGGTGGTCGGACGTTCGGCGGTGCTGTGTGTGCGTGGGTGTGGGACTTTGAGAGAGAGAGAGAGATGGGTGTGCTGAGGAGACAGTTGGGTTGACCACGTGGATGTAGAGAGTTGGTGTGTTTCTGGGTCCATCTAGTTTTATGTGTAAATTACCATATTACCCTTAATGAAGCTATAATTTAAGCTTTTTTTTATCCATTAGATCATCTGATCTAATGGTTATGATTCTTTCTTATTTCTTTCTCTGAGTACCATTCTCATGGGAGCGTGACCCTATATATATATAGGGGGAGGATCCAATGAGTCCACTCCTTAAAATGAGTCAACTCCTTAAAATATATATTAATTAAATATAAAATAATTATTAGTTGACTCCGGCGTTGACCGTTGACTTCCGGCGTTGACCATTGACTTCCAGCGAAAAATCGTTGACTTTCGACGTTGACCGTCGACTTCCGGCGTTGACCGTTGACTTCCGGCGTTGACCCGTTGACCCCTAGTATGCATTATATGTATGAAGTAAATATGCATCCAGTACCATGCATTCAATATGAACTAATTATGAATGGGATATGAATTGCACATGCAGTCCTTATGAAATAAATATGCACCAATAATATCAACTAAGTATGCACCTGTTATGAACTAAATATGCATCTGTTATGAACTAAATATGCATCATGAATGAACTAAATATGCAGCGAAAAATATGCAATAAACATGTACATTTTATATAGGTAATTTATGATGCATATTTAGTTAATACGAAATGCATACTTGTTATATTTAAATTAAATATATAATGATGTTTATATAGTTAATATATGTTGCATATTTAGTTAATTCATGATACGTATTTAGTTCTTGCGAAATGTATATTTAGTTCATGAACAGTGGATACCTATTTTATTTGAGATCCAATCATAACAATTTATTTGTGTTATTAAACAATTTAAAATTAAAATTAATTATATAATAAAAATTATTAATTATTATATTTAATTTAATTGTATAAAATGTGTATTTTATTGCACATTTTCCTTTCATATTTAGTTCATTCATGATGCATATTTAGGTAGTAAAATGTGCAAATTTAGTACATAAACAGTGCATGCATAGTTGATATTATTGGTGCATATTTAGTTCATAAGGATAACATATATAATTCATTTCTGATTCATATTTAGTTTATACCAAGTGCATAGTACTGATGCATATTTACTTCATACACAATGCATACTAAGGGTCATCAGTCAATGCTGAAAGTCAACGCCGGAAGTCAACAGTCAACGCTGGAAGTCAACGGGCAACGTCGGAAGTCAAAGGTTAACGTCGGAGTCAACGGTCAACACCAAAGTCAATGGTCAATTGTCAAAATAATATTTAAATAATTAAAATAATAAAAATAAAGAAATAAGTAATAAAAGTAAAGAATTATTATTTAATTTAAGAGTTAATCTTAGCCACACATAATGCACCAATCTAATGGTTAGAAATAGGTCTCACATTCACACTTTAAATATGTGGACTCATTGGATCCAATATATATATATATATATATATATACACACAGTGATGCGCACCTACCCACGGTGGGCACATGTTAATATGCCCACCGCTTATGTGGCGTTCACTCATTGTTGATGTATTTGTTTGAACATATTAACATCACCAATGTGTGCATGCCACATAAGCTGTGGGCATATTAACATGTGCCCACCGTGGGTAGGGGAGCATATCCTATATATGTGTATATACTTGCAAAAAATTAAATATGTCATCATAAATGTGGGTGTATATAGTTTATATATACATGAAATTCACTATTTTAATTAATATATATATGTAGATATACTTGCAAAATATAAGTATGTCATCATAAATGTGGGTGTATATATATAGTTTATATATACATGAATGAAAATCCAGCTCATGTTAACAAATAAAAAATATATTTATATTTCATTTTCAGTTTTTTTAAAAACATCAACAAACTTATCTACGAGACTTGTGGTATCGTATAAATTATTTATTAAAAGTACCAATCCCGACCCCGTTTCCTAAGTACAAAATACTTGCTAGAGAATGAATATATAAATAAGTATGTAATTTAAATGGAGGTCGAGCCGAACTCAAGCCTAAATATCTTATTCATCTTATGTAACATAGCATTACAGATTGATGTGTTTAAAACTTCGAAACAACATTAGTTGCCATTTTGTTCAAAGATTAAGCAAATCTTGGAAAGTATTTGTCATTTCTTTTTCATTTTTTATTAAGTGTTAATGTCACTAAAAAAAAAATTATTTGTTAATTATTTTTTACATAATATTAAATTAACCTTCATTTTATAAATCAATTGGTCTAGGAATTTCAGGTGACCTATTAATTAAAATAAAATTCAAAACATTTATAATATTTATCAAAAACCAAAATAAAGTTTTTAAAATTTTAATAAAATTAAATTAGTAGATTCTACAATTTTAGAATAATATATACTACATTCTTCATAAATTAAGTGTCAATTTATGATATTTGGCATAATTATACAACTTTACTATCATTTATTTAAGAATCGGTGTAATTAGATATAAGTAATGGGAGAGAGCATAAATATTTACTCTTTTAACAAATCCAACGGAACTACAATTTCACTATTCAATAGGCATAATGTACATAATTTCACCTATCAGTCTATCACACCAAGTAACTTAAATCATATAAGTCTACATCAACAATTATGTCCCATATCCCTATAAATACATGCTGTTTTAGTGTTGAGAAAGCACACCAGTAGCGTGTTAGCAACCAAAACACAACCAAAAAGAAAAAAGAAAAACAACTTGTGCTAGTTTAATTTCAGTCAAAATCCAGTATCATGACTCTTCCCTTTAATTTATTTCACACACTCATATCCATAACCCTCGTCTCTCTCCTCCTGGCCACGTCAGCCCTCAACCAAACTAATTATATTGTCTACGTGAAGAAGATGAATCCAAGCACGGCCGGCGGTGCTCAAACCAACGCCATAATATTGAGCTACCACAAGACATTTCTTCCTTTGGGAGCCAAAGACTGCCTGATCTACTCGTACAATCACGCCATCAGTGGCTTCTCGGCAAGACTATCAGCCAAACAAGTCGAAATCATCAAGGGCAAGGAAGGCTTTATCTCGATGCTACCCGACCGTGCACTTTACCGTCCACTCACGACCCGTTCCCCTGGATTCCTCGGGCTGAACCAGAAGAGCGGAGCCTGGCCGCGGACGGGGTTCGGCAAGGGAGTCGTAGTCGGGGTCATCGACTATGGGATAACCCAGGGCCACCCATCCTTCGGCGACGCCGACATGCCCCCCCCACCTGCCAAGTGGAAGGGGCAATGCGACTTACCTGACAAGTTTGGGTGCAACAATAAACTCATAGGCGCGCGGGCGTTCCATGGCGGCAACGCCTCTGCTACGCCGGTGGATAATATCGGCCACGGGACCCACACGGCCAGCATAGCCGTTGGCGCATTCGTGCCCGGCGTCAGCTTCGAGGGAAACGCTGCAGGGACCGCGTCTGGGGTAGCCCCACACGCTCACCTCGCGGCATACAAAGTCTGCTTTGATCCCGACTGCAATGACAGTGACATTCTAGCCGCTTTTGATGCCGCCATCGAGGATGGGGTGGATGTGTTGTCCATGTCCTTGGGCGCTTCGTCTGAACCATTTTACGCAGACATTACAATGTCAGGTGCTTTTGCAGCGGCAAGGAAAGGAATCCTCACCATCCTGTCGGCAGGGAACGACGGTCCGTCCGCCTCGACGGTATACAATGATGCAACCTGGGTTCTCACTGTCGGGGCAAGCACGATTGATCGAAGGATTCGGGCCACGACAAAGCTGGGAAACGGATTCGCGTTTGATGGGGAGTCATCGAGGCAACCCATAAACTTCTCTTCTCAAAAGTTTAGGCCGCTCGTCTACTACAACAACTCTGGGAAACAATACTGCTACAATGGGTCGCTGGCGGGATTCGATGTTAGAAAAAAAATTGTGTTGTGCGATGCGAATGAATTGATCTTCCCAGGGGAACAAGCCCGAGAAGTTAAGGATGCGGGTGGTGCCGCCATGATACTGCCCAACCACGAAGCCGCCGGGTTCAGCCACAATTCTTATCTCCTCGACTTACCATCCACGATCGTGTCCTTTAGGGCGGGCCTGGAAATAAAGGCCTACATAAAGTCAACATCCTCCCCAACGGCAACAATCTTTTTCGAGGGGACGGAGCTCGAGAACCCAATTTCTCCCACCGTCTCCTTTTTCTCATCTAGGGGTCCCAGTAGCCAAACTCCTGGGGTTTTGAAACCAGATATCATTGGGCCGGGCGAAAACATTCTCGGCGCGAATCCTCTAAGCCAGTATAATTTAGGGAGGACATTCACGATCAATTCAGGCACATCGATGGCGTGTCCTCACCTTTCTGGGGTCGCGGCTCTTCTCAAGAGCGCCCACCCCGACTGGTCGGTGGCGGCCCTAAAATCTGCTATCATGACTACTGCGGACCTCGTCAATGCCAACGACTTACCGATTCTCGACGAGAAACTTACACCGGCTAATGTATATGCGGTGGGGGCCGGCCATGTCAACCCGAACAAGGCGTTGGATCCGGGTCTGGTCTACGACATTGCAATGGATGAGTACATCCCATTTTTGTGTGGCTTGGGATACACGGAGAGCCAGGTCGAGATGATCACACAAGAGCTAGTAAGTTGCTTCTCTAAAATCCCTCAGGGACAACTGAACTACCCCACGTTCTCAGTTAAACTAGGCCCGCCCCAGACTTTCTCCCGGATCGTCACTAATGTGGGTGAGCATGTCTCGTGTTACTCTGTTAGGATATTCGAGCCTCTAGGTGTGAATATTGTCGTGAGGCCATCAAAGATGTGTTTCACAAGGTTGAGGCAGAAGGCGACGTACTACGTGACGTTTCACCGCAGCAAGAACATGACCGGTTCAGGGAATAATGCATATGTTGCACAAGGCTACTTGCTTTGGGAATCAGAAAAGCACACAGTTAGGAGTGTTATAGCTGTCAACATTACTCGGCAAGTCTTCTAATTTTACCTGCAATTAACTCTGCTCAATAAACTACAACATTGTTGCTTTATGTATGTAACCTTTTCAATAAAAGAACATTTGAGGTACATTGTTCATATATATAGTCAAAACAGGAATAAAATTCACCTTGGGAATGCAATAAGTAACGGGTACATTCCCCTTTATATATGTCCATATATCCTACTCTACTGAACAAAACTTATATGCTATTTAGGTCATTGTGGAATACTCTGGTTTTCACCATTTGGGAATTTACCCTCCTCATTAAGTATACTAATTTCATATATAGTCGTCGAAATCATGAATGTTCTTTTTATGTAAATTATCAAATGCCATGAAATAAGTCGAGATGAATTAAGACGCTAAAACAATTTGATTGGTAAATAAAACGTCATTTGAAGTCATAAACTAAAAGTTCTCACTGAACATCAGACTGTGAGACTCGAGGATCCTGTTGAAACCAGAGTCGAGATATTTGTGAGGTAAACCTCATTTTCGTATTAATCAGAAAGAAAAAGTCAGACTGAAAGTTCATACAGAGCACATATATGTAGTGTACGTATAACTGCACACGTCACCCACATGCACAGCCCAAAACGAGGACGTTCTAGTTTTACATAAATTAAAGAAATTGTAGCTTACTTACTAAAACAAACACAACCATGAAAACACGAAAGATTCAGTTGAGTGTAACTGTTTTATTCCATTGCTTTGATTGTTTGTTTTCTTTATTTTTCATTTGGTTCTAGCCCATGTGTGTGTGGTGCTCTCATTCCGGGCAGTGTGATTTGTATTGAACTTGGTTTTGATTTCTTTATGAGTATTCTATCTTTTGGGAAAAAAAAAGCTACGAAATAAAAAATTGAAATAACTAACTAAATATAATGTTTTTTCTCCTTGCTTGAGATTTCTTCTTCTCACTGAGATTCTTCTCTCTTAGATTGAGAGCGTTTTCTCTTAGGAGAATTCATATCTTCTATTTTAGGAGTTTTTCTAGCATGGAATTGGATTCAGGCGATCCATATCTTCTATTTTCAGGAATGGGGGATGAATTAGGGCAACGATTGGGCAAATTATCCATATCTAAAATTGAAGACGCTGTCATTGATATTGAAACAACGAATGTGAAGTGTAATGCCCCGTTTGTTTATGAATTATTTGAAATTGTTTATTATATTTATTATTGCATTATTATTATTATTATTGTTTCTCTAATTGCTTTTAATTGTTTAAATGTTTATTTATGCTAAATAAAAATATTATTGTGTTATATATATATATATATATATATATATATATATATATATATTTATATGCTAGCTCGGATATTTTTTTTATTATTCTATTCGGCGGTTGTCGAGTCGTTCGGAGAATTTTGGTTTAATCGTGTAGCATTAATTTCGACCTGTCTCGACTCGTTTTCGAGATATTTGATCCGAACCTGGAGAGTTTATTTTCGGCGTTTTGAAGATATTTTTATCGGACCCTTTGTGCTATTTAAATTGGCCCCATTTCGAATTAAATTCTAGCCTAATTTGTGAATTGATTTTTCGACCCAATTACAAGTAAGTTGGCCCAATATTTTCCTTTTTCTCTTGCGAGCTGACATAGCAAAGGGAGAACTCCTTTTCTTCTTCGATCGCCATCGCGAAACCCTTATTCACGCCTCTCGATAAGATTAGAAAGGATCAGAGATAATTCACCGACAGTTCGTCCATCAAACCCATCGTTCTCAAGCTGTCCTGTCGCGACCTTCAATCCCTCACCGGCGAACGTCCATAGCATCGCATGAGTTGGGAGTTCAAGCCATCGGGCCATGTTCGAAATTTCAGACCTCCTCGAGTAGTACCTAGCTCTCGCCGGTGAAACCTGGAGCAGCCTTACGTCAATCACCCCTTCACGTCAAGCAGCAGTCCTCACCATCTCCGTTCGAGTTCTTCATCCGTGGAGCAGCAGCGAGGAACCATAACCACCCTCCGCCTCCTCGCCGTCACAGCGCTGCACGAAGACAACCGCGCCCCGCAGCGGCCGTTTATCTTTCCCTGCTCGTCTTTCGACGACCACCACGGCGAGTCCTCCTTCATCTGAGCAGTATCCACGACCTCCGATGGGGCTAAATCCTCGCGAGCCTCGACCTCCGTTGCGGCGGGGCGGTTCAGACTAAAACAGAGTCACTCGGGTGTGGTTCGGACTGAAACGAAGTTACTCGGGTGCGGTTCACGGCCGCCGGACACTGCAGTGCCACCCGCTGATCCCTTTGCTAGTGTTCCAAGCCACCGAGCATGCTGCCAACGCTCCGGTGAACAAGCCCCCGCAAGGAAGAAGAGACGCCCCGCGTGTAAGCCGCCGAGCCCAGCCGGCATGCACACAGCCTCGTTTCGGCCCTTTAGCGTGGCCCCATCCCGAGATCTGTACCAAGGCTGTTCATTCCTTCTAGTTTTGATGTGTATTATGTTATATGATAGTGCCTTGGTATTATATTTGCATGTAGAGGGTTGATATCAATTCTCTTTTGTGATGATCTCTTTGATTTATGTGAAATCGAGCAAGATCATATTAATTTCGTGCTAAGGCTGTGGATTTTGGAACCTTGTTGAGTCCTTGGCCTCATGGTGGAGGTCTTGGACGAAATTGATGTGTTTGGAGTTGTTTATGAATTTTTGAAACTAAACAAGCTGCTGAATCATATTAAATGCATGATAAATCGTGTACTTGTCCAAATTCCTTGAAATTTTTTATGTGTGATGTCCTCTAATGGTATTGCAAGTCGTGTAAAAATTTTATGTTCAAACTCCTCCAGTAGCCTGGGTAAATGTTGATTTCAGTTTCTGGTCAGAAACTTAGAACATTCATATTAAATAGAGTTGATAGGAAAAAATGCTGGAATTTTAATTTGTTGTTCCTCTGCTATGTGTTGTCATTATGTATTAGTTTCAGAATTTTTGGAATCCATTTGCTAAGTTAATTGTTTATTTTGAATTCTGGTCTGTAACTTGTTTTAATTTTGTAAAATCGGTTCTTTACTATGTTAGAGGTCTGCTGTAAAAGCTATGTTTTGTAGATTATATCAATTCCATTTTGGTCTGGCCATCATGTTTCGGTCAAAGTACATATGTTTGCAGTTTATTTATTTATGCAAATCATACTCCATGTCTTATATTGAGATAGTGTGGTTCGAAGAGTTTCGAACAGAAAGATCACCTATCAGTTCCTTATAAGACTAAACTATTCGTTCACAGTCCAGACAGGCAGTGAGACCCCTCTTGGAAAAAGACTGTAGTGTATTCTTGATTCAGTTGGTCTTTGACTGAAGGATTACACTAGCACTTATGTTAAGTGTTGAACAGGACCACGGAAGGATAAGGATATGAGACTCACTGACAGTTGTTGTAACCTAGACCTTCAGTGATTGATGAGTTCTCGTAAGCTGTAAGATAATATAAAATAGGCATATATTTTTATTTCTTATTTATTTGATTTACCAAGTGAATCCTATTTTATTAGGATGACATACGAGGTATTTTGGTAAGTAAGAATAATTATATGATGTGCTATTATAAATTATTTACGATCACTATGTTCCAGTGCGCTGGATTGATGACGTCCTCGAAATGAGCTCAGGAAGGAACATTATGTTAAACCCTGCAGGTAGACGATTGCCTGACATAATGGTTAAAGATCTGAGTGGTACTAATTTCAGAAATGAATAAGAAGTTGATTAATTATTTTGTCAGTAATTTAATTAATCAACAGAAGTTATATCTTAAACATAAGGAGGTAAATCGATCAATCGGATTAATATTATTTAATCATGGAGGCTCAATTTTATTGGTAAAATAGTGGCTAAATGGGGAGAGCAATAATATTACTCTAGTGGGATGTTTTATTATTTAATTCCATTTAAATAGGAATTAATTTTATTCTATATTAATTAATTTAATTAGGAGAATAAAATTCCTACTAGAATCTTCTCTTGGGATTAGAAGACTAAGGAGTCTTCTAGAAGATGGAGATTAGTAGGAAACATATTTCCTACATTAAATAATTAATTGGAGTAGAATTAAGCTTCCTAAATTAGGAATTAATTTTATTACATGATTATTAATTTAATTAGGAAAGATATTCATACTAGGATCTCCTCTAGTGTTAGGAGACTTAGGAGTCTTCTAGAAGATGGAGATTAGTAGGAGATCTCCTTCCTACATTAAATTAGTATTGGAGTAGAATTAGGATTCCCAGGCCCAAATGGGATAAGCCCATATTTAGCACCTCCTTAAGGTCCCTAATGGAGCCTATAAATACACCATGTCCCAATCTCTTCTACATAGTTGATGCTGGGCGATTTTCTCCTCTACATACGCGCGAGAAATATCTTTGTTCGAGAGTTAGGGAGATTCGATTAAACGATCCACCAAGTTTGATCGAAATAGGTGTTTAGGTAATCCATTAGAAGGCTTTTTGGTACAATATATTGAGCCTCTAATATACATATATTTTTCGGTCATCATCATCACCTTGTCGCCGCCGTGAGGATTCACCGGAAAATCCCATCGCCGCCGGGAACCGCCCGAGCCCAGCCGAGCGCAGCCGTCTGCTACCGCAAGCAGCCGCGCATCGCACAGGCCCGAGGCCAGTTCCAGCAGCGACGACCAGGACCACCGCACGAAGGCTCGACACCTGTTCGTGCATCACCACTGTTCGCGATCGTCCCCAGCACGCGACTGCAACACGCGCATCGCCGCTGCTCGTCCGCACTGTCTGCTCGCCGTCGTCGATTGCGAAGTTCCTGCGTCCGTCCGCTACGCGCGCGCCATTCCTTGCATGCCCAGGAGACGCGAACTGCACGCCCGCGTGACCCCAGACGCTAGCACCCAGTCCGCGTAGGCCTAGGAGTCCCACCAGCGCCCCACGTGCACACGTTCGCTGCCAGCGCCTGTCCGTGTTGCCCAGCGACCCGCACGTCACGCGCAGTGCCGGATGCGCATCCACTGCCACCCGCT